GACGGTAAATCAGATTCAGGATCCCTATATGAATGAGGGTAAACCCTAAACCCTAAACCCCAAACCCTTAATTAAGGTGTAGTCGTCACGAAGGGTACCCAAACCCAAGGCTACGACCTGAGGGGTCCGAGGTAGAGTCCTATGAACGTGCCCCTTTGTAGCCCCTTAAGCTGGTGTTCTTGCCGAAGAGGTCGTGTTCCCTAGTAGCTTGAGCTGTTTTTTTTTTGCATCCGCAGTTTCTTGGTGCAGTTTAGAGTTGAGGGTTTAGGGTTTAGGGTTAGGGTTTAGGGTTTAGGGTTTAGGGTTTAGCCGGGGGATTAGGGCTTAGGGGGGTTAAGGGCTCCGTTTGGGAAGTCGGTCGCTATCTAGCACCCAGACCCCACATCGCATCCCAAGCGGTCGCGTTATCCCCTTACCACCCGAAACCCTAAACCCTAAACCCCAAACCCTAAACCCTAAACCCTAAACCTTCCACCCTAGAACCCTGAGCCCCTAAAGCCTGAAGCCTAAGAACAGACATTGAAACTGTCCCTTCCGGAGGTCGGACTTGCTTCTGGACTTCCAGGCTTGACCCAAAGAGCCCTTTTACACCCCTTAGATTAGCCATATACCTGGGTTTGGGTTTAGGGTTTAGGGTTTAGGGTTTAGGGTTTGGGGTTTGGGGTTTGGGGTTTGGGGTTTAGGGTGTAGGGTAAGCCTTAGATCGTATTAAGGAGTCATAGATTCATAGACGGTCTAAGATGACGGTCAATTCCTCAGTTCCGGGGTATTGGGCTCTTGCCGCATCTGGCACTTCGCCACTCTAAGGTTCAGGGCTTTTCGAACGTAGTGTCACATTCTTACTTCCCTGGAAGCCCACAAAGTCCTAGGATTATGGAATCATACGACCCCCCCCAAAAAAAAAAAAACACTACGTACCCCATACACCAACGTACTTGTACCCCATACGCGGACAACCCTTAAGGTGGTAGCTCGGTTGGGGGTGGTACAGGGTCCTATCCTCGAAGCCCTGTAGTTCAAGTACCTTTCAAAAATGCGAGCCCAAGCCAAGAAGAGGCCGCACACCCAAACCTCAAGCAAATGCCCGCAACTCCCTAACCAATTCCATAAACCTTGGTATTGAGGGGTACCATAGCTGTGGCTGCTATGGAAGCCTTAGGGAGCAGGACGTGTAGGAATCTCTGCACCCTTATGCCCGAACCCTAAACCCTTAAAAACCATAGACCCCTACGCCCCGAAACCCGAAACCCGAAACCCTAAACCCTACCATTCTGTCGAACCCGGATCCAGCTATGTCTGGAACAGGCCCCCGCCAGCTGCAAGGCACTTCCGAAGTCGGACGCAGGCCGACTTGGAACCCCTACTTTGAAGCGGAACCTACATTCTCAAGAATATCCCCTTGGGGGTTTAGGGTTTAAGGTTTAGGGTTTAGGGTGTGGCGGAACCTAATGTAGGGGTCGGAATGGTACTTAAACATATTCCCTTATGGTCCCTTTATACGTAATTATACCATAATAACCCCCGAAACCCTATTCGAATTCTTAAGGCCCCCATATTAGGGTTTGGAGCTCCCTATTTGTGGTAGAACCTACATCCTCAAGAAGATCCCCTTAAAGGGACTGAAAGCCCCTGACTACTGACGGAACCTACATCCTCAAGAATATCCCCTTAAGGTTTAGGGTGTAGGGACTGGAAGCCCTAACTTATGGCAGAATCTACATTCGCAAGTACAGGGGAACCTTAAACCCGAAGCGCACAGAAATGTGATGAGGACTCGACAGCATGTATCCCTAAACCCTAAACTCAGACAGCACGAAATCGCTTCGTGTGTTTCTCCATCGTTGGTTTCTTGGCTTAGGGCTCCCACACCCTTTGACCTTAATGGGTGCATGAAACTCTGTGGTACTTTACTGTAACCTTAGATCCTTAAGCTTTTTGGGTTTATTGGGTTTCTTACTCTAAACCCTAAACCCTAAACCCTAAACCCTAAACCAATTCTTAATACGGCAGCAAAACAGCTAGGTTATAGCTTCCCTACTAAGTGCAGCCAAGGAAAGTGCAAAAAAATGGCCGGCTTCGAGCATTCGCCTTTTATGAAAAGAGGTGTGCTCACGGGTGGGCTGAACATTTCTTTGAGTTTTAGTGCTGGGTTGCAGGGTTTAGGGCTTAGGGTTTAGAGTTTAGGGTTTAGGGTTTACCCAAAGGCTCCAATGTAGTTCCTTTTTGGGTTAGCTATAGGGGAATCGAGTATCCTACCCCCAAAAGGTACGACATAGGAGCCTGCTCCGCAAGGCAAAGTCAAGCCGCCCTTCCCGGCCTCGCCTGGCCCGCGATCGAGGCAGTGGCGCTCATGTTTGTAAGGTTTAGGGTCTAGGGTTTAGGGTGTAGGGTTGAGGGTTGAGGGTTTAGGATTCAGGGTTTAGGGTGTGGGGTTTTGGGTTGAGAAATAACTGTACTTCTAACCCACTTGTAAGCCCCTTAAGTGCCCTAACATGGTTGTAAAAGGTTGTAGGTGCAGGTACAGGTATACGTGGGTTCATAAGTACCATGAACCTCCAAGTAAGCCCTGATGATGCCAAGCGGTTGGAGCAGTTGGGGTTCAGGGTTTAGGGTGTGCGGTTTAGGTTTAGGATTTAGGGTTTATAGGGTTTAGGGTTGAGAAGTTAGGAGACTCTAGGCGCACAATGGACCCACCCAGGAGACCAGCAAGTCCGGAATGGTCAGTTCTGTACATGACAGTCCCTTTTTGTGCATTCAAGGGTTTAGGGTTTAGGGTGCGAGGTGCCGTCCTGGAAATAGCAGGGACACCCCTAAGCGCACCAGAATTTGCAGAGCTGATCCTCCGAAACCGCACGAAACCCCGTGCCCTTGACGCCATGACCCGAACACCCTCGAACTGAACTCCTCATCAAACTACCCTAAACCCGAAACCCTAAACCCACACTAAACACCTTGAAGCCTTGAAGTTGGGATGTTCCCCCTTATGCCAACCTTGAAGCCATGCATCCTAAAAGCCCGAAACCATACGACCGAGCGAAACCCTAAACCAGTAAAGACACCAGCCCCACCCATCGTACAGTGCTCAACCCGAAACCCTAAACTGCCCTAAACCCTAAACCGGGGGGGGGAGGGCCCGGGCTTAAGTGTTTGTTCAAGTTCTTGCTTCTGTTACGCAGTGTGCTGGAAAAACTGCCGGCTGGAGCCAGCAAAGCTAGCTTGAACTCCGAAGAGCAATTTTTGTCCCAAGAGCCCCAGACTGACGAATTGCTTGAAGCTGCCCCTTGCTTGCCTTCGCACCTCCCTACTCTTTCGCTGTTGTGCGGCATGCCCCGTACGAAGATCCCAGATGACGTAAAGCAGTGGATTAAAGGGCAAGGGAAGGACTGGCTACGCAACTGGCTACAACAGGGATGTGATTCTCAGATCTCCCGGGATTCCGAAACTCAGGAGACGCTCCCAGCAAGTCCAACAGCTCTGGCAGAGATGGGCCGACATCCCTTGCCAGATGTTTGGCCCCATGATAGACAGCCCACTGGTTTCGAATCGCAAGCAGATATGAACAAGGCACCGGTTGATGACGCTGTCAAGATCCTTGAGGAAGAATTGCCAGAGCCTCGTCATATCCCTGCATGGGCTTGGCCAGTGATTCGGGGTACCAAGAGAGTCTTCCTTTGGGAATCACAGGACTCCTTGCACAAGCGCCAAAAACATGAAGATCCGTCTCCGGGTAAACCACCCGCCGAAGAAGTGGCAACATCCTCAAACGAATCGCTGGCATGCCCCAATCTTGCCATGCTGTGGATGCTATGGCAATGCTTCAGCATGTGTTGCTGGTTGACGTCAAGGTTTCAGGAAAGGGACATTAAGAGTCCCAATGCCCTGCATGACCTACCTGCTGCAGATGCCCGACTTTCGTCAGGCACAAATGAGGCCATGGAAGCGGGGGTGGCACTACCCCCTCCGCCGCCAATCAACCCTTCTCAAGACCACGGGCAGGGGGATATAGTTCCATGGCGTCGGCGCTTACGGCCCATGCCTACCGGACAGCTCCCCAAGGTGCAGGAGATCCTAGCTCTAGCGTCAAAACATGGGCTGTACAAGGATGCGTCGCAGTTCAAATGGTTGGATGCCTCTATTCGCGCCTTCCAGCTTCGGACCCCGTGCCAGCGCGCATGCATCAACTTTTACGCCCTCTCCGGGAGCATGTACATCACAGGCCTGGACAAGTTTGCGGGCATTGACTACGTCAAAGAGTGGACCAACATCGACAAGAGACAACCACGCAAGAGGCGTTCAAAATATGGAAGAGGACCAGGAGGAAATCAGTTGCAACCCCCATTGACCCCCGAGCAGGCCATAAGTTTCCTAGGATCTTGAGCACTCTTCGTTGCGAGCATCTCGCCGAATGCTCTTTCTAGTAGCAGGTTAACTCTTGTGTCGGTTTCACGCACGGTGCGCATTTTGCCATCCCAATTGTGCTAATTCAGGCTACAATCCTTGGCTCGAGAAGCCCTGCAAGGAACCAGGAAGCCATCGAATTGCTGAGGGTTTTTGGAAAATTTGCCTATGACCTATGAGGTTCTTGGTAGGGCCCAGAAGTCCTTCGAACTGCCGAGGATCTCTACAACTAGGACCACCACTCCTATATCTTCCAGCATTTATGCTGTCAAGGTGTTCCTTTTTTTTTTTTTTTTTTTTTTTGCTCTGTTTTCCCTCTCCTTCCTCCAACAGTCCGTTGGCTTATCGCACCTCTGCGAGCTCCAAAGTACGTAGCCCCCAAAGTGAATCTCGCCCCACAGGCCCCGGTCGTTCATATCGTTAAGCTAAGGACTCCTGGTCTCTGACTCAAGCCAGGTACAGCTGCGTCCTAAGCGCTCCTATGCGGGGCGAGGGCAGGGTCCGTACTCAACTTGCAGCGACATTTTTTTTTAGTGGTTTTCTTTGTCTCCCATTGCATCTTGGCTTTATAGTAGGAGCTTCGTTCCTCACTGTTTGTGACTATGATGGCGCCTTCACTGGGGCAGGTCATTCTTAATTTCTGGGAGGCTTGCAAAAAGCACGTGCGACACAATGGTGTCCCGTCATTCGAGGTAAGAGTCAAGCAGGCGCAGTTATTTGCCTGGCAGAAGCTCGTACAAGTGGGCCGTCAATGTTTACATGGCCTCCTGCAGTACCCTAGTGCACCTGTGCAATGGTACCAGCATGTCCTTGCAGGAGTTAGGGTTGGAATTGACTTTGCAGCCTGGATGCAGCACATCCTGGCCGAGGCGCCTTGCGCGGGCCGTATTAAGCCTGCGACAATGCCACTGAGACTTGGACTTGCCAACCCCAGTGTCACCGGTTGCATGGACATTAAAGGCGAGCGCCTCAACTGGCAGCCGATCCTAGACGAGAACAGGGGCATCTACCCAGCCATGACAAAGCTAGGACTTGACGCCGTGGGCCTCACCGCGGCGCGCCTGAGTCCCAACGCTTGCCTTCCTACTCGTGTAGCAGGTGTGCTTGTTTGCCGCGGCGGACCACAGTACGGTAGCACTGCGGTACTCAGAAGCCAAAGTTTTGCACAGTGCTCTGCAGTCCGCCAAGACATTGGGAACAATAGACGCATGTGGACTGACATTGTCCTAGAAGATGGTCGTAGCCTTTTTTGGGTTACGCTTTCTCTGCCACCCGAGGGCACCCAAAGAGATGAAGAGTGGATGACAGAACTTGAAGGCCTCGCCTGCGATGTCCAGCTACTCCACGCCAGCTCGACTAAGGAGCCCCTCTTCCTGTGCACCGGAGACATGAACATCCAACCAGATAATTTAGGTGACCGCCCGGAACCCTCAAGAACCAGGCAGCGGGCTTGGGAAGCATTCTTGGACAAGACATCCTTCGCGACCTTCAATCCGTTCTGGGCGGATCCACAGCCACAGGAAGTACACCTGCCTTTCCGGGATCGAACTGTGACTATTTGGCCGCACACGACCCGTCATCACCATCGTGGCCCAGGGAGAGCCATTGATCTTGTTTTTGGCAGCTCTTCTTTGGCGGTTGATGTTTTCATACATAATTCTATCTCGTGTGGTGGGGTAGGAACATGCCCTGTTGCCTGTTGTCAAGAAATTGGATGCGGAGACCATTTTCTTCTGCGCCTCGAAGTTGCCCTGTCCCCAGCTAGCTCCTCCAGCTGCGCGGCCCCGCATTTCCCCGGGAAGTGGCATGATAAACGCAGATGGACCACAGCACTGCGGCAAGCAGAAGCGCCTCTCAGGCAGCTTACAGCCGCCGCGTTACAGGGCTATCAGGACCATAGGAGGGCGCCGGCAATCTCCAACATAGGACTTGAAGCTTGTGCTATGCTGCTAAACACCATGGCTGGAGCACTCCGCGACATCTGGATAGGGGGGAGCGTAAGCCCCCGCAGCGACCACAGCTCGCTGACCAACATCACCAGGCACCTCGAAATTGTTGATTCCGAGGAACTTGAAGATATAAGCCGCCAGCTGAGCTCAGCCCCGAGTGGTGCCGCGCTTCTCCACAAAACCTGCCGGCTGCTCAAGCCCCACACCCCGCAGCCTGTTTGCTGCATGATAGAGGGCCATCATCTTTTGACAGAAACCGAAACACACCAAAAATGGTGTCAAGCCTTATTAGAACAGTGCGGGCCTCAGTCCCACATCGACCAAGGCTTTCAGCATCTTGTCTGCAATAGATTGCAAACCCTCCTGAACAATGCACGCTCGAAGCACACGCAGCTGCATAGGGAAATGCCATTTCTGCAGCATGAAGTTGCTGAAGTAATTTCTGGTTGGTCTGCATCTTGCGCCATGCCCCCTGACCTCCTCCCACGGGCCCTTTTCATGTGCAATAGTGACGACTGGAATGATGCAGTGTGGGCCTTGCAGAAATGGGCAGGCCCCTCAGGAGCAGCGCATAGGCCGTCACTGTGGAGGGCAGCTGCGCTGTGCCCCTTACACAAAAAGGGAAGTGCAGCAGAAATCAGCAGCTTTCGCTTAATCTTTAATAAAGCACAAATGGGGCTTGTGCAAGAGGCCTTGTTCACGCAGCGGTGGCTCCTACGGGTACGAAGCTTTGTAATGCCTTGTCAAAGTGGGTATGTGAGGGGTGCTGACGATGCTTGGCTACTCCTGCACGAAACGTGTGCGGAAGCCTTATCACAACACCGTCCCATCTGGCTGGTTCTAGGGGATTTTAGGAAGGCCTTCCCAAGCGTCATTCGCGAGGACCTGCTGCACAGTCTTGCTGACGGTCCAGGTGTGTCAGGAGATAGCTTGCTCCTCTGCGCTTCTATCCTCAAGCAGGACTCAGTCCTTGTCTGGCACAGCGGCCTCTCGGAGGTAACTGTCTCCAGTGGAATCCCGGAAGGCGGAACTCTTGGACCCTTGGCTTACCCTTGCCTACTCGACAGCTTGGTTAGGGAGTTGCTCGCAAAAGAGTGTGGCGTGGGCCTAGAAGTAACCGTCCCGCCGGCGTGGTCACACATGTGTTGGAAGGGTCAGGGCTCCCCTAGTCCTCACCTAGTGCAAGATCTCAAGGCCTCTATCCAGCTAGGCCACCAGCTGCCTTCGACGGAGGCGCTGCAAGCTGATGCAACGCTCGAGGCTTCAGCGCTAAGGGCGATAAATGACCTTGCTCCGCACAGACTCGTGGCAGTACTCCATGCGGATGACCCGGTCATCCTGGGGTGTTGCAGAGGAGAGACACAGCGCAGCCTCAACATCCTGTCAGATTGGGCACGGAGACACGGGGCTTCTTTTCATGTTGGGGAGTCTAAGACTGTTTCGATGATCTGTTGCTCTTCTCCATGCGTCTCCCCCACCGCGTGCGGTCCCTCTCTTCTCTTGGATAATCTCCCCCTGGCGTTTAAAAACCAACACAGGTGGCTAGGAATTACTTGGTCGGCGTCCTTGTCTTTTCAGGACACCTTATCCCAAAAAGCAGCACTGGCAGGCGCAATTTGGAGCTCCATCTGCGGCCTTCTTCATGGCCACGCGTTTCCGCTTGACCTCGCCCTTAGTCTCTTCCGCTCCAAGGTTCTGCCTGTCCTCTTATTCGGGGCTTGCTTGTATGGTTTGGAGGCTAATTTGGAAGAGTTCCTTTCTCGCCTACAAAGTTCTTGGGCTAGACAAGTATTAAAACTTGAACCGTGGCGCAACGCTGCAGTTGCTGCCGCCGAGCGGGGCTGGACTCTGCCATTGCATTTGGAAGTCGTTTTGGAAATAGCAATGAAGCGCTTCCGCCTCTGGCAGCTTCCAGATGGAGACCTCTACAAGACTAGGTTCATGTGGAGTCACGGAGTAGGACAATCATGGGCTTGCAAGAGCCTCAACCTCATTGAGAGCTGGGGCCTCGTGGATTGGATGGAGTGGAAGTCGCCACACTGTGACTACCGAGCCTACGCTCGGCAGCATTTGGAGATGGCGTGGTTTGGCTCTTGGCTTAAGGAAGCTGAGCTCTCCCAGCAACCTCCCGCCTATACGAGTTTTCAGGCAGTGCACAGCCGCATCCCCGAGACCGTGGCTGCACAAATGCTGCCATGGGACACCAGAATGGGCATCCTCTCGCTCTGCAGGCTCAGGGCAGGTTCTCTGCGACTCAGCTCTTTGAACGGGAGGCCAAGCGCAGCGAAGATCCAGCGATGCATCTGCTGCAGCCGCAGGACCAGGGCAGCTAGGGTCCATGTGATGGCAGTGTGTGACCACTGGCTGAGCCAGAGGCAGCAAGTCTGCCAGTCGCTGGGCCTAGCTGCAGACGAGCTTACGCCAGCAGACCTGTGCAGGTCCATCATCGGCTGCTCCCCCACAGCCACAGGTTTTCGGGCCGTAGTAAGCTGGGCAGTAAAGCTGGACAGGCACCACTCTCAATACTGGGGTGCGCAGCGGCTTGGGAATTAAAGAAGAGGCAGTTCTACCACACTGTGCTTCTCCTGAGCCTCCCCGGCTTTCAGGGTGGAGCGCAGGTGCGCGGGGGCCACTGCCTTCAGTTCCTAACATACCTTAAATGCCATCGGCCGCCCCTTGCCCCAGGGAGCCAACCCGCACCCTCCGTGCGGAAGAGTGGACACACACACACACACCCTAAACCCTAAACCCTAAACCCTGAACCCTGAACCCTAAACCCTAAACCCGAAGCCGAAAGCCAAAAGTGGGAGACACGCACCCGAATGCGAGGTTTCCAGGAGTTGGGGGTGACCTCTAAGAAACCCAAACTCCCTAAAACCAAAGCCACAAAACTCTAAACCCTAAACCCTAAACCCTAAACCCTAAACCCTAAACCCTAAACCCTGAGGCGCAGCTCGGAGGCTGCAGAGGAAGCCGGCACTGTGCCTCCGACCCCAGCCACGCCCGACGTCTCGGGCAGGGGCAGGCTCTCCAGAACGCGGGGTTTGGGGTTTAGGGTTTAGGGTTTAGGGTTTAGGGGTTTATTTGGGGTTTAGGGGTTTATTTGGGGTTTACGGTTTCGGGTTTGGGGTTTAGGGAGTTTCGGGTTTAGGGTTTACTTTGGGTTTAGGATTTAATTGGGGTTTGGGGTCTGGGGTTTTGGGGTTTAGGTTTTCTTTTGGGGTTCTGCGTTTAGGGTTTACTTGGGGTTTGGGTTTAGGGGTTTATTTGGGGTTTAGGGTTTAGTTGGGGTTTGGTGTTTATTTGGGGTTCTGGGGTTCGGCGTTTAGGGTTTGTTTAGGCTTCACTTGGGGTTTAGGGTTTAGGGTTTATTTGGGGTTCGGCGTTTAGGGTTTACTTGGGGTTTGGGGTTTAGTGTTTATTTGGGGTTTAGGGTTTATTTGCGGTTTGGATTTTTTTTGGGTTTCGGCGTTTAGGGTTTACTTGGGGTCTGGGGTTCAGGGTTGAGGGTTTGGGGTTTGGGGTTTATTTGGGGCTTGGGGCTTGGGGTTTAGGCCGGTTTAGGGTTTGGGGTTTGGGATTTAGGGTTTGGGTTCAGGGTTTGGGGTTTGGGGTTTAGGGGTGAAGGTTTAGGGTTTTGGGCTTGGGGTTCGGGGCTTAGGCTTTATTTGGTGTTCGGGGTTTAAGGTTTTGGGTTTGGGGTTTAGGGTTTGCTGTAGATGCAGCAGAGGCTCGAACGCCTCGTCAGGTGCGAAGAGCAACTCTGGCCCTGGCCCTGTTGTGTCTAGCACCTTTCTCCCACCCCACGCCAAAGCCACAATTGACAATTGCTTACTTCCAACAAAACTAAACGTCCTCCGTCACCGATCTTTGCTTTCAACCAAGGGAAAGGTTTCAGTCCAGGGGGTCCCAGACAGGCAGGGTGAGAGGTTCTGAGGGGGCTTCAGGAGGTCCCAGAAACGTAGGGTGCCAGCAGGTCTCAGGGTCCCAGGGAGGGAGGGGTGTCAAGGGGTGTCCCAGTAGTGGAATGGCACGTTCGAGACACCCCCCACATGTGGGCCTGGTCCCTGAGCAAGCTGTGTGGGGTTTAGGAGGGTTTGGGGTTTGCGGTTTAAGGTTAGCGTTTGGGGGCTGGGGTTTAGGCTTCAGGGTTGGGGTTTAGAGGCTTAAGAAACTGAAGGAGCACCCGTGTAACCCTAAACCCCGGACCCTAAACGCTGAACCCTAAACCCTAAACCATAAACTTGAACCCTAAACCCTTTACAACCATGTTGGGGCACTTATAGAAGTACAGTCAATAACTCAACTCCAACCCCAAACCCCAAACCCCAAACCCCAAACCCCAAACCCCAAACCCTAAACCCTAAACCCTAAACCCTAAACCCTAAACCCCCAACCTAAACCCTAAGCTGATGAGGCCGAGGCCAGGTTCTGCGGGGACTCTGCTTTCCTTAACCCGAAAGCCCGAAAGTTGAAGTTCGGGGCTTTAGGGTTTGGGGTCTAGGGTTTAGGGTTTGGGGTTGAGGGTTTGGGGTTGAGGGTTTTGGGTTTGGGGTTTAGGGTAGAGGTTGTGTGGTTATCCTACATTGCCCATCCTCGAGCGACAATCTTGCTACGCGGATCCGCTCTTGAATTGGCAGGTTTGAGTTCTTTGCTTTGCTACTGCTTCTTACTTAGAAGGTAACCCAAATTCCTAAACCCTAAACCCTAAACCCTAAGGGTTGTTGTTGAGTAAGCCAGAAGCAAGCATTTTGCAACTCTGCACACTGCCAGATCGTGGGAGGAGGCCTTGAGCCACTATGGCGAGGCCTGTGATCTGGATCGTGTTTAACACAATATGAAGCAGGGTTTATGTTACTGCTTTTGGTGAGTGTATACAAGGTTCCCTTTTATTTTTGGTGAGTGTAAATATTTGGTGTCCTTTTGGGGATATTCATCTCATATTACTTTACCGCTGTACGATTTCCTATAGATGATTAGATTCATTAGGTTTCTATTCATACTCTTTTGTACTATCATATCCTTGCAATAATGGAATTGTTTGTTTTTTAATGGGGGGAGTATTGTAGGATCCCAGTTTAGGGCTGCATGTGGGCGTAGGGAGCAAGACCACGTGTTGTCATTACGGCTGCATTGGCACGTGGTTACACATGTTCTTGGTCCGGTGCTCCTGATGAACTTTCCCAAAGATCAGAGGCTTCCAGTTTTGCGTTTGCCGGCTGACAACGCCCCTGCTCACATGTCAAACCAAGAACCCTAAACCCTAAGAATGCAGATGCGTCGGGCCCGAATGACTTTGTGGCGACTTTTGCTGCCTTGCTTGTGTCGGTACAACTTCTGAGCATTTGTCACCCAATAATGAAATGATAATAGGATGACTCGTTTATTGTTTTTGGGGAGGGGCTCTTAAGCAACTACTAGTTAATTTCTTCAGACACAAGAGAGCACTGCTTCCCCATGTTTCCATGTCACCTCTTAAAGCACTCTCTCTAAACCGTCAGCCGCTAGCCAGGCCATGAAGCTTCAACCTTAAACCCTTAGCTCTAAACCCTGAGCCCTGAACCCTCAGCCCTAAGCCCTAAGCCCTAAACCCTGAGCCTATAGACCCTCAACCCTACCAGCCATGAGCCCTTAGCGGGTTTAGCTATGGATCCAACATGATCTTTCTGACTAGATAGGCGGGCAGGCTGTCCGAACTAATCCCGTGGTCGCGTAGCTAAAGGATTAGGGTTTAAGGCTGACAAATCAGAAGCCCGAAGCCGTAAATTCTACACACCTGACTCCCAACCCCTACATCTCTAAAGCTCAGTTCCCGACACCTCTGCCCCGTCCTTGACACCTTCGGTCTTGCAGAACGGGCAGTGGGTTCATGATAGAGGGATCGGAATAATAGTATTCCCTTAGGATCCCTTCATGATTATACTATAATACCCCCCGAACCCCTATTCTAGTTCTTCAGGCCCCTACATTGGCTGGTTTTGGAACTAACACTCTCAGCTTAGGGATCGTTTTGGGGTGTAAGGTTTAGCGTTGGGGTGTTCCAAAAGCTTGAAATCTAAACAGACATGGACCCAGAGAGACCAATACTCCTTCATTCTGGAATAGACCTTAAATTATGTAAGGGATTGATTTAAGGAATATTTCTTAAGTAAGAAATATGCCTTAAACTATAAAGGGCTCCTTAATATGATTTACGGAATATTCCTGAATTAACGGGTACTGGGCTCTTTGGGGGAAGGATGCGCAGCGAGGGAAGTCGCATCCCTAGCCATTGCGTCCCAGGGGCTCATCTTACAAACCCTAAGCCCTAAGCCCTAAGCCCTAAACCCTAAACCCTAAACCCTAAAGCCCGGTCTTAGGTCTCAGCTTTTGCTCCGAGCTCAACTAGAAATTTATACCCTGAGTATCTCTAGGCCCCAAATGTTATGAACCTAAACTCTAAACCCTAAACCCTAAACCCTAAACCCTAAACCCTGAACCCTGAACCCTGAACCCTGAACCCTAAACCCTAAACCCTAAACCCTAACCCTAAACCCCTAAACCCTAAACGCTGCCAGAAGCTCCCGAAACGAAACAAGGTCGACCTGGATGCCTTCCACGACTCCGCTGGGGAGGTGCTCGACAGAATGCTGCCTGAGCCCCCAGATCTTGCAGAGCAGGTTGCCTTATCCTAGGTAGGGTTTAGGGTTAGGGTTTAGGGTTTAGGGCTAAGGGTTTTGCCATTGGGATACTTGATGTCTTCGCTTCTTGGGTTCAAGAGGATCACACTTAGGAATATTTTTCAGAGGGCTCTATGAGGTTGCCATATCCTAGGCAGGCCATTCGGATGTTTATTGGGATGTTTGACATCCTTTTCCCTTCTTGAGTTTAAGAGGAACATCTTGCCCTTTATACTAGCAGCCCTTCAGAGGGGTTCTAATTGGGGGGGTACTATGATCCTACTCAGGACTGCTAGTATAAGGGTGACCATCCCAAGGAACATACTTAGGAGCACTTTTATTCAGAAAGCTTTTGCAAGGGCCATCCTCGGATCTGCTAGCTTGTGATTTGTAACTCATTGGTAGCCCAGCTGTGCCCGTCGGTCCGCATTTTTTTTTCTGGGTTCCCCTTCTTTTTTAAAGTACTTGGAGGTTCATGGTATATATTAACCAGGTATAGCTGTACTTATAACTGTACTTATAACAAGGTCAGGGCACTTAAGGGGCTTGTAGGTGGGTGACAAGTACAGTTGTAATTGGTTAACAAGTACCATGAACCTCCAAGTAATCAACCGCCAGAAAGGGGCAGCGCCCTGACTTTAGTATGGTTGCTGGGCTACCAAGAAACTGAAGCTGCCTCTGTCACATCAGGGGGTTTACGAGACTAGGGGGCCCCCAATATACATCCCCAAATAGCAGGATCCCCTTAACATAAGGACCCCAATGAGGTACCTTTCTAACTTGGGAAACCACCATGTTACTAGTAGGGTGTTTCCCTAAGGATCCATGCGACGAAGGCAATCGGTAAACGCTGAGCCGCCAGTGTAGGGCAATATAGGGGCCTTAATCAATAGA